TTCATCGGCGCTGATTTTGAGAAGGAGCTGAAGCGGAAGGGGATCCAGCATCAGCTCACAGTGCCTTACAACCCTCAGCAAAATGGCGTGGCTGAGCGGTTCAACCGGACCCTGCAGGAAGGTGCTCGCACTCTCCTTGGGCGTGCGGGGCTGCCGGATCCGTTTTGGGTGACAGCACTGCGGCAGGTCGTTGTTGTGAAGAACCGGGTGCTGGCGACTGTGGGGGACAAGCAATGGGTCCTTTACACCAAGTGGTATGGGAGTGTGCCTGCAGTCAACATGCTGAGAACTTATGGCTGTATGGTGGTGTTTCATGTGCCTAAGGAGAAGAGGGGAAAACTGGAAGCTTCTGGGAGATGGGGTGTGCACTTGGGGCTTGCAAAGGATCACAAGGGCTGGCTGATTTGGGACTTGACCAGCCAGCAGCTGACTGTGTCGAGGGATGTGAAGTTCCTTGAGTCCTTGTACTACAAGGAGTGGAAGCAGCAGCAGCAGAAGCTTCCCACTACACCGCTGATCATTGAGGCTGATGAGGTGCAGCGGCCTTCGAGGCAAGTGCAGGTCACTGTCTCAGAGGAGGAGATTTCTGGGGTGACTGAGGATGGGGGAGAACCTGAGGTGGAGGAGCAGCAGCAGCAGCAGCAGCAGCAGCAGCAGCAGCAGCCGCAGCAGCAGCAGCAGCCACAGCAGCAGCAGCAAGGTGCTCCACAAGGTGCCGCGCGTCCGGCTGACCGTCCCCGGAGGGAAGTGCGCCCTCCTAACCGGCTGACCTATCCGAGCTTTGGCAAGCCAAAGGTGGTACGGGCTGGGAGTGTGGCTGAGCAGTGTGATGAGGATGAGATAGCACACTGCTACTGGGCAGCCGTCCCTGAGCCCAAGACGTTAGCCGAGGCATTGAGCGGGCCCGACGCTGAGAAGTGGAAGCAGAGTGTGAAGGAGGAGTATGACTCTCTGCTGGAGAATGAGACGTGGGAGCTGTGTGAGCTGCCACCTGGGAAGAAGGCCATTTCTTCTAAGCTGATCTTCAGGCATAAGTACGGACCCGATGGGGAGCTGACCCGCTACAAGTCAAGGCTTGTGGCTAAGGGGTTCCAACAGACAAAGGGGAAGGATTTTGATGATATCTTTGCTCCTGTAGGGAAAGGCACTACACTGAGGACGATGTTGGCAATGGCTGCAAACCGTGGCTGGAAGATCAAGCAGATGGACATAATCACTGCATTCCTCAATGGAATCATTCTGGAGGAGCTGTACATGCTGCAGCCTGAGGGGTTGGATGATGGGAGCGGCAGGGTGTGCAGGCTCAAGAAGGCCATCTATGGCCTGAAGCAGGCTCCTCGCGCATGGTACCACAAGCTGGAGGAGACACTGCTGGCCGGGGGGTTCAAGAAGAGCGAGTGTGATCACAGCCTGTTCCTGCTGCAAGAGAAGGAGCAGTTCCTCATGCTCCTCGTGTACGTGGACGACATCCTGCTCTTCTCTGAGTCGTCTGCAATGATTGAACGTGTGGAGGAGATGCTGGAAATGCAGTTCAAGTGCTCCAAGATGGGAGATGTGAAGTACTACCTTGGGATGCATGTGGAGAGGGACCTTGACAAGGGAGTGTTGAGGTTGCACCAGAGAATGTATTGTGAGGGGCTGGCTAAGAAGTATGGGCTGCAAGATGGAGGAAAGCCAGCCACCCCACTGCCTTCGGGGTTCACTGTGGAGCCCTGTGCTGATGAGGAGGTGGTGGGTGAGAGTGACAGGAAACTTTTTCATTCCATCGTTGGGGCACTCAACTATGCGGCTAACCACACACGGCCTGACATTGCCTTTGCAACATCTAGGCTTGCCAGTGTGGTTTCACGCCCCAATCATGAGCAGCTGGAAGCGGCCAAGAGGTTGGTCCGCTATGTGAGTGCTACAGCGTCTGTGGGTCTGGAGTACAGTGCTGTGAGGCAAAGGCTGCAGAGGGGTGCAGCTGATTTGAGCAAGGGGGAGATGCGCCTGACTTGCTACACCGACGCTAGCTTCAACTCTGTGAAGGCAGATGGCACCAGCATTGGAGGCTATGTGTGCCTCTTTGGAGGTGGTGCAGTGAGCTGGCGCAGCAAGAAGCAGAACGAGGTGGGGCTGTCCTCGTGTGAGACCGAGTACATGGCCCTTCATCATGGGGCAAAGGAGGTGGTGTGGCTGAGGCGTTTGTTGGAGGAAATCGGAGTGTGTCAGAGGGAGCCGACTGTGATTTTCTGTGACAATGAGTCGGCGGTGAAGCTTGCGAAGAATGCCTATCTTCATGGCTTGACAAAGCACATCAGGCCAAAGTGGCATTGGACAAGGAGGCTCCTGGACAAGGAGGTGCGGCTGGAGATTGTAAAGACCCAGCAGCAGGCGGCTGACATTCTCACCAAACGCCTGGCAGAACCTGAGCATTGGAAGGGCATGAAGCTTGCTGGGATGAGTGTTTATTGAGGGTGTATGCTTGAGCTATGGCATGTGGGATGATGGTTGGCAGCCAGAGGGGGAGTTTGTTATGTGATGCTATCATTTGCATTCACGTCTGTCTGCCTCCCATCATGTGTTCGTGCGTTGCATGTGTGAAATGAGCGTGCGCAAGAATTTGTGTTTTCTGTGGTTTGGATTTTCTGAGTGTGTGTGAATGTTATTTGGCTTGAGTAGATATCTGAAGTGACTCCACTGCTCAAGAGCTTTCCGACGAACCAAGAATCACTTCAATCGGAGCATGAACAAGAAAGTTACGAACGTTGGAGTTCGTATGCTTTTGATAATTTGGTTGTGGTGACCATGGAGAGTTGTGGGGTTGACTCAATATGGGGTACAGACTTTTGGGGGTTGGGAAATTCGTCACTACTACTGTAGTTGCTGCCAATTGGTTGGGAGAAACCAAACCAGGTTGGCAAGTGTGGCCAAGTTGGGTTGAGGTGGATTGTGGAGGCTGGGATAGTGACAAAGGTCAAAGTTGGGTTGCCTATGGGGAAGGGAATTGTGTGGCATGGAGTTTTCTTTGGTTGGGGACTCCTTGGGACCTTCCCTCTCGTCCTCCTTTTTCCTTCTACCTGGTTTAGTGCTACTCTAACTCTCTTGTGTGCAACTCTTGTGAACTTGTGAAACTATTGTGAGTGAATTTAATTTCTATGTGGCAGCATACCCCCTGGTGCGCCGAGAAGCATAACTCGAGATTTACTCCACCTTTCGATACGATTCAAATTGGGAATGATAGCCACAAACAAGGGCTATAACATACTAGAGTTTGAGACGATTCTAACAGTGAACGTTTCGTCGACAACGTTTCTTGTGAAGTCGCGGTTTCTGTCCAGAATTTCAAGCCAACGATTTTGAGAAATTTAGGCTCCTAATCTTCACAGACTCCATCCTTAGTCTCTAACAAAAGAAAGGGGTGCGGGGGTCGCCACGAGAGGCGCCTACAGCGACTATGCTAGCCTCAGCTGCAAGTAGTTCCTTCTCGAGGAGGGCAATGGTGAGCTCAGTGGGGCAGCAAGCTAGGAAGTGGTCCCTGACTGCACGCAGAGAGTTAGGAAGGCGGGTGACTAGGTGGTAGAGAGTGAGCCAGAGCGGGGGGGGGGGGGGGGGTCGTGAGAAGAAACTCATCAGGCATAGCGGCACGGAAGCGGGCCTCACTAGTACGGAGGTGCGTGATGAGGTCAGCGACTGTGTGGAAGGAGGCGAGGTCAGGGAACAGGTAGGGGAGTGAGAGACGGCCTAGTGCAGCAGAGGCAGGTGAGGAGTAGCGGGCAATGACAGCAGTGTACAGTGCCTGTGCAGTCTTATGCTGGCCAAACTGCTATCGGCAAAGAGTTGCGAATAGCAAAGCGAGCGTGGGCGTCACGAGTCTGCCACTGTGAGCGGGCAGTGCTGTCAGCAGTAGCAGCAGGGGCAGTGGCATGGCCTAGGGCGTGATCGTACAGTGAGATGTCCTCCTTGGCAGTGAGCTGTAGGAAGAGGTGCAGGTCATCTAGCCAGGTGTCAAACTTCACTGGGCGGCCCTCAGTATCGAACACTAGTACAGGAGGGCTAGCCACAGTAGCAGTAGGAGCAGCAGTATAGTAGAAGGAGCAGTAGCAGTAGGTGCACCCTAAAAGCTGTAGGCAGCGCGACGCAGGTAGGGCGGTTCGGTACAGTTCAGATAGGGCTGCGTGGCTCGGTTCGGGCGGCGCGGCTCGGTTCGGGCGGCGCGGCTCGGTTCGGGCGGCTCGGTTCGGGCGACTCGGTTCGGGCGGCTCGGGCTGGGCGGCTCGGTTCGGGCGGCCTGGTTCTGGCGAGGCCGTGGCTGTCGCGTGCGGGGCGCTAAGGGGTGGCGCGTGGGGTCGACGGGGCCAGCGGGGCCTCTAGGAGGGGCGCACGTGGGGTCGACAGGGCCAGCTGGGCCTCTAGGCGGGGCCGACGGGGCCTCTAGGAGGGGCGTGTGCGGGGTCGACGGGCCGACGCGGCCCGTAGGTGGGGCGCGCGGGCCGGCGGGGCCTTTAGGTGGGGCCGACGGGGCCTGTAGGTGGGGCGCGCGGGTCGACGGGGCCTCTAGGTGGGGCCGACGGGGCCTCTAGGTGGGGCGCGCGGGCTGACGGGGCCTATAGGCGGGGCCGACGGGGCCTGTAGGTGGGGCGCGCGGGCCGACGGTGCCGTTAGGTGGGGCCGACGGGGCCTCTAGGTGGGGCCGTCGGGGCATCTAGGTGGGGCCGACGGGGCCTCTAAATGGGGCGCGCGGGCCGACGGGGCCTCTAGGTGGGGCCGACGGGGCCGTTAGATGGGGCGCGCTAGGGGAGGCGTTCGAGGGCGCTAGTAGACAGTCAGTTGTGGTGGGCCCTAAGAAATCGGTCCTAGCGAAGGACCTGCTCTGTATACCATGTTAGAGAATGAATGATTGAATTGAGAGAGAAGTGAGTACAAGTACCTAAACCTAGAATTGTGTACCCCCTAAAGGCTAACCCACTGTAGCCTAAACAACTACAACATATATAATGTTTGACATCAGGCACACTCTCATGCACTCCCTCTCGCGCTCTCTCTCGCGCACTCTCACCACATTCTCTCTCTCGCGCACTCTCACCACATTCTCTCTCTCTCGCGGACTATCACACGCATTCTCTCTCTCGCGCTCTCACGCGCACTCACACGCGCTCCCTCACGCGCTCTTTCATGCTCACTCTCACGCGCACTTTTACGCACTCTCTCCTGTGCTCTCTCACGCGCTCTCTCACGCGCTCTCATGCGCCCTCTCGCACTCTCTCACGCACTCTCTCACGCGCTCTCTCAAGGCACACTCTCACGCACTCTCTCTCTCGCGCTCTCTCTCACGCATTCTCACCACGTTCTCTCTCTCACTCGCACTCTCACGCGCACTCTCACGTGCTCTCTCACGCGCTCTCTCACGCACTCTATCAAGGCGCACTCTGAGGGGCACTCTCAGGCGCTCTCTTTCGCGCTCTTTTTCCCGCATGCTCACGCGCATTCTCTCTCTTACGTCCTTCTCTCGCGCACTCTCACGCACATTCTCTCTCTCAAACACTCTCTCACGCGCATTCTCTCTCTTACGTCCTTTCTCTTGCGCACTCTCACGCACATTCTCTCTCAAACGCTCTCTCACGCGCACCCTCACACGCTCCCTCACACGCTCTCTCACGCACTCTCATACGCGCTCTCTCACGCGCTCTCACACGCGTTCTCTCACCCGCTCTGTCATGCGCACTCTCACACGCTCTCTCGCGCTCCCTCACGCGCTCCCTCGCGCTCTCTCTCGCGCACTCTCACCACATTCTCTCTCTCGCGGACTATCACACGCATTCTCTCTCTTGTGCTCTCACGCGCACTCACATGCGCTCCCTCACGTGCTCTCTCGTGCTCACTCTCACGCGCACTTTCACACACTCTCATGTGCTCACGCGCTCTCATGCGCCCCTCTCGTGCTCTCTCACGCACTCTCTCACGCGCTCTCTCAAGGCGCACTCTCAGGCACACTCTCACGCACTCTCTCTCGCGCGCTCTCTCTCTCGCACTCTCACCGCGTTCTCTCTCTCACGCACTCCCTCACGCGCTCCCTCACGCGCTCCCTCACGCGCTCTCTCACGCGCTCTCTCACGCTCTCTCTCACGCACTCTCTCATGTGCTCTCTCACGCGCTCTCACGCACGCGCTCTCTTGCGCTCTCTCACGCGCTCTCTTGCGCTCGCGCACGCGTTCTCTCACGCGCTCTCTCACACACTCTCTCACGCGCTCTCTCACGCGCACCCTCACGCAATCTCTCATGCGCTACCTCACGCGCTCTCTCACGTGCTCTCTCACGCGCTCTCTCATGCGCTAACTCACACGCTCTCATATGCGCACACGCTCTCCCTCGCGCTCCATCTCTTTCTTCTTCAAATGAAAGTGCAATGCAAGTGGAAATCAATCGACACATTGGAGAGAAAAAAAATCAAAACAAAACAATGTCAGAATGTTATCATCTAGCCTGTAGTGGGGTGCTCTATAGCGAGTACAACCCAGTTAGGGTTTGCTATATGTATCCCAACTGCTGCTAGTGAAATCCCTCTTTCATCATTCTCCTTTTGCACTTCTTGATTCTGACAAACAAAACAAAACAAGACGGAAATTTCAAAAGGGGGAAGGGAGGACGAAAGGACCAGGAACGCACCTGATAACCACGGAGTCTGACAAAACAACCCGCCCTCGCGCACCGATCCACGCTTGCGCTCGTGCACCTGTCGCCGGACGAGACGGCAGAGAGAGAAGGAGAGGCGACGGCGGGGAGTGGGGAGAGGCGACTATGAAGAAATGAGGAATGAATGAACTAGCAAGCAGGTGGGTACAAGTAGGAAAACCTAGAAGTGTTGTACCCCATATTGTCTACCCCACTACAGCCTACACAGACTATAGCATATGAGTTTGACACACCCCCATAGGCAAAGTGGGGGAGAACAAGAGGTCACAAGACCAGTCAAGCAAAGCAAAGCAAACTCAGGGTGGATAACAACATCACCACACAATCCGAGCACAAGAGCAAGGCCAAAAGGCCAGTTCACATGCAAGATCATATATAAAGGTAAACAAGCAAGTGCAGGTATAGAAAGATCACACTACAACCAAGGTCAAGAAGTGAGAAAGTGAGGCCAAGTAGGCACAAGACCCAGCATCGTACAGAAGCGCTGATGATCACAAGGTGGAAGGGCCTTGGTGAATATATCAACAGAGTTGGCCTCAGAGGCCACGTAGGTGAGGCGGAGCTGACCACGCTGCTGCAGCTCACGAGCCAGGAAGTAGCGGAGAGCAATGTGCTTCGTTCTGTTCTTTAGTCTATGCTCCCGACACAAGGCCAGCATGGCCTTGTTGTCTACATACAGAACTGGAGGAGAACGAGGCGGCTCTTCTAGGTCAGTCAGCAGGTCGCTGAGCCAGCGTAACTCCTGTGCAGCCATGGCCCCCGCGTAGATCTCGGCCTCACAGCAAGAGCCGAGAACAAAAGACGAGCGGGTAGACCGCCACGAAACAGAGCCGGTACCAAGGCTGAAGGTGTAACCCTGTGACGACCGTTGCGTAGCCTGGTCATCAGCCCAAGAAGCGTCAGCGTGACCTGTGAGGACCACTCAACGTCGCCCTCCAAGCACTAGCCCCATGCCTGACGTACTGCACAAGTAGCGCAACACCTTCTTCGCTGTAGCCATGTGCTCTGGTTTGTGTCTCCCAGGAGCAACATAGCGTGCCAATATGCTAACAGGGTATGCAAGGTCAGGTCGTGTGCAGCTGATCAGGTACATGAGGCAGCCAACAAGCTTTGGGTACGGGCCACTCGGCTCTACGCACTCATCCGAAGGCAGAGCTGAGAGCGAGTGGCGAGTAGACAGAGGAGTGGCCTGAGGCGAGGAGTACATGAAGTCGAAGCGCTGAAGGACCTGCTGCACCATGTGTGACTGAGTCAGGGTAATGGTGCGCTGTGCTCTCTCCCGGGTGATCTGCAAGCCAAGGTAGCTGCGCAGTTCACCCAGGTCTGTGCACGTGTGTCTCTTCTCCGGCTCGGACTTCACGTGGGCGAGTCCAGTAGTGTCAGCAGTAGCAAAGACCAAGTCGTCAACGTACACGAGGATGTAGAACGGCGGCAAAGAGGTGTCAGTGTGTAGAAACAGCGACGGGTCAGCAGTAGAAGGAGCAAACTCAAAAGACGCAAGTGTAGTTTTCAGTGTATCGTGCCACTCACAAGGCGCCTGGCGGAGACCGTAGACTGGCCGCCGGAGGCTCCACTGGGTACCAGGAGGAAACGACCCAGTGAAGCCAGGAGGGTGGCGCAACCTGATCTCCTCGTGCAGGCTGCCCTGTACGAAAGCAGTGCTGAAGTCGAGAGAGTGAAGCTCGTAGTCGCGCTGAGCGGCTATGTGAAGCAGCACCCGAAGAGTGGTCATCTTCGAGGTGGGAGAGAAGGTCTGAAAGTAGTCAACTCCCTGCCGCTGACTGAAGCCTCGAGCCACGTAACGCGCCTTGAAGACAGGCGGAGAACCCGGCGGCCGCTTCACCCTGAAAATCCACATGCCACTGACGATGTTCGCCCTAGGAGGGGGAACTGCGTCAACGTAAGTGCCTGTGGACTTCCACAAAGCCATCTCTGCGTCCATGGCCGACTGCCACTTTGAGGAGTAGGGACTCTCGATCGCCTCAGCGTACGATCGAGGAGTCGGGATGTCTGGTGCATCCTGGTCTCGCTCAGGGGCAATCACTGTGGACACAAGATGAGGCAAAGTAGCAGCAAAACACTGGAACTCCTCCTTCCTGTCCTCAAGGACGTCCGTGCTAAGAGCACACTCACCCCCGACGGACGGAGGACAGACAAACGCAGACTCAGCAACGAGACTAGCAGCGTAGTCTAGACGACAGCTAGGAACAAAGTCAACAAGCTCAGCAACAAAGACAGACGCAGCAGTGGACTCAAAAGAAGGGTAAGTGATGACAATAGCCAGGAGACGCGTGACTGTAGGACTGGCAGCACGACGAGAGTCAGACTCTGGGTCAGCATAAACAGGAAGAGAGGACTCTGGAGGAGACGGCAACGGGACACGCAGAGGAGCAGTGGACGGACGCAGCGCCATCTGGTGTGTGCCTGGGATCGCAGGAGAACTCGGACGCGGAGCACGACTACTAGTGCGAGTAGCACGAATAGGCGACGCAGGACGAGACGCAAGCTCACGATGCTCAACAAGACCTCTAGTAGGACTAGTGTAGGGAGAAGGAGCGGGCAAGGGGGAGGCGGGCTATAACTCTGACTACGACTGGACAGGCTGTGGTCACTCTAAGGGAGGAGCAGGACCACTAGAGGGTGGGAGACCAAGAACCTGCTTAAGGAGCGGAACGAAGTATGGCCGCAGCCTCGCAGTGCCTCTAGAACCAGCAGGGACAGCACAAGTATCCCTAGCGGCAGCACCAGTGTCACCAGCACCCCCAGCGCCAACAGCGCCAACTCCAGCACCCTCAGACGCACCAGCGCCAGCAGAACCACCAGCGTCAGCAGACCCACCAGCTCTAGCTACAGTAACTCCAGTAGCTCCAGCAGCACCAACTCTAGTAGGACCGGCAGCTCCTATGCCACCAGCAGCTCCAGCAGTACCTCCAGCAGCACCCCCAGCCCCAGCAGCTCCTGTACCGCCAGTACGAGCACCTTCGGGACCAGCAGCAATAGTAGTACATCCAGCTCTAGCAGCACGGCTCTAGCGCCGGGCAAACCATTCACGCAGCTCATGTGGAGAGAGTGGCTCCCGCCTTGACGAAGCACCGCCACAGGCCACATAAGCAGACCCAGCACCCCCAAGCTCCGCACCCCCAGGTTCAGAACCCCAAAGCTCAGCACCCCCACACTCAGCACCCCCTGGCTCAACACCCACAGACTCAGCACCCCCAGGCTCCGCACCCCCGGACTCAGCACCCCCAGGCTCCGCACCCCTAGACCCGGCACCCGCACGCACAACACCTCGAGCAGCACCAGAGTCAACAGCTACCTCGACAAGCTCGACTGTGTCTACCTGGGACACACCTGACGGGGCAGGACCCTGAGGGGGGAGGGGGTCTACCGGCGGAGGACCTGGCGCAAGGAAGAGCGGGGGCCGGGGGAGGGGCGCAGTGCGGTAGAGGAAGAGACGGTAGTAAGGCACCGACTCGTCAAAGGTGACGTCCTCGGAGGACAAAACGCGGCGCGAGGTGGGGTGGTAAAACTGCCACCCATGCGCGACAGGGGGGAAGCCAAGGAAGACGCAGGGAACAGCACGGGGGGACAGCTTGTCCGCAGACAAGTCGCGGACAAACGCCCCAGATTCCCAGACCCGAAACGCAGAAGCATCACCAACCTTCCCCGTCCACCGTAAGGTGGGGGAGGTCTCAGGCAAGGAGACCCGGGGCTGAAGGTTGAGCTAATGCGCTGCGTACTGAACCGCAAATGGCCACAGAAAATGGGGGGCAACCGCATGGATCATGGATGTACGAGCGACGTCCATGACCATGCCAATGCGGCGCTCAGCAATTCCATTTTGCTGTGGAGAGGCCGAAAGCGTGAAGGTCTGACGGATGCCCGTGTACGACAGAAGGCTCCCAGACGGGCAGCGGATAAGTCCCTGCCTCTGTCAGGGTGCAGACACACAACAGGAAAGTCCGAGCCGAAACTCTCTCTGAGCTAGATACGAGCTGCGCGGATCCAGTCGATCAACACCTCGGTGACATCACACTTGCTGTGCAAGGGGAAGACTGTTGTGTAACGCGAGTAGTCGTCAAACCACCAACAGGAAGTACACTCGTGACCCTGACCAGGAACGCGGGCGGGGCCCCACACGTCCATGTGGAGAGTTTGCAGCGGAGCCTCTGTCGGAGGAAACTCGGAGGAGTGAGGGGCGGCGCGCTGTCGCCCCTCGACGCAGGGGACGCAGGTAGGGGCAGGCCCCGGAGGTAGGGGAGGGAGGGACCAGGGAAGACCAGAGACAAGGACACGGGAGGCCATGTCTTGGAGACGAGGCAGGGAGGGGTGACCAAGGCGGTGGTGCGAAAGGAGAGTCTGGTGGGACAGGAGACAACACGAGCAGGGAGCAGACTCAGGACCAGACCTGGACGCTGCAGCAAACACCTCACTCGACGCAGCCACTTGACCAGACTCAGGAGTCGGAGGAGACTCTGTAGTAAGTGTGTACAGGCTCGACCCCGGCCGACGGGTGAACGTGGCCAAGTGTCGGCCTGTCCGAGCACACGTGCAGTGGGTCACTCGCTGACTCGCAGGAGTGAACTGGTCAACCCCCTTATCCTGTAGATCAGCTCCACTCACCATGTTCCTAAGAACGAGGGGAGGTAGAGACCTGACAGGGTGCCAGAGGGGGCTGCCGGGCACGGTAAGACACTGGAGAAGATAGCAAGGACAGGACCCCCAGAGGGGTCCGCCAGGGAGACCGCAACCGGCCGACTAAGCGGCGTAAGCGTGGTGCGGTCTTGAAAGAAGGAGCGGGAAGCACCCGAGTCAAGGGTGAAGGTGTGTAAGGCCTGAGCCGACGTGGTACCTGAGAGAGCTGACTCACCAGCACCTGGGGCAGCAGACGCACTAGCACCTAGAGTAGCAGCCTCACCAGCACCTAAAGTAGCAGACTAGATACCGGGGTCAGGCAGCACACACAGGTGACAGGCTCCCTCGGCACTAGTAGACAATGCATACATTGCAGTGAGAATATCATCATAGTCAAGAGCAATGATATCTACCCTCTGCCTAAGCATCTCCACCTAGTCAAGGAGCTCAGCGTCGTCGCCAAACTTAGTACGCCAAGTGTCGCTCAGAAGCGCGAAGCAGCGGGACTCCGTGTGACCGCGCGTCCCGGAAGTCTGACCAGTCCGGACACCCTTGCTAATAACATACGGGCAGCGAGCAGTACTCAGCGACCCTCCACTGTGAGCGTACCACTCACGAAGCTGCTGGGGTGAAAGAGTCTCGTGCGGACAACGTTGCTGCTGCACCGGGCCACTACAAGAAACTCCCAAACCACCCACTCCTGGACGACTCCCACTACTACCACCCCGACAATCCCAACTGGTGTACCACTCACGAAGCTGTTGGGGGTTGAAGGACTCACGCGGGCGACGCTAGAGCTGCATCCTGCCACTACAAGCAACTGCGGAACTACTCACTCCAGGACGACTCCCACTTCGGCCACCCTGACAACCCCAACTAGCGTACCACTCACGAAGCTGTTGGGGGGTGAGGGACTCGCGCGGGCGATGCTCGAGCTGCATCTGGGCACGCCAGAAGCAGCAATAGCAGTAGAAAGTGCAGCACTAGTAAGTGCAGCAGTTACAGCAGTACGGGTAGGGCAGTGCTCACCACTGGCGAGAAGGGCAGGCGTACGACGGCGCCAACGTCGATGCCGCTACCACTGTAGAGCGAGAGCTCCGCGGCAACTACAGGGGTGGCTGCTCCAGGGGCGGCTGCTGCAGTGGCGGCTGCTCCTGGGGCGGCTGCTGCAGTGGCGGCTGCTCCTAGGGCGGCTGCTGCAGTGGCGGCTACTCCAGGGGCGGCTGCTGCAGTGGCGGCTGCTCCAAGGGCGGCTGCTGCAGTGGCGGCTGCTCCAGAGGCGGCTGCTGCAGTGGCGGCTGCTCCAGGGGCGGCTGCTGCAGTGGCGGCTGCTCAAGGGGCGGCTGCTGCAGTGGCGGCTGCTCCAGGGGCGGCTGGTGCAGTGGCGGCTGCTCCAGGGGTGGCTGCTGCAGTGGCGGCTGCTCTAGGGGCGGCTGCTGCAGTGGCGGCTGCTCGAGGGGCGGCTGCTGCAGTGGCAGCTCAGCCGCTCGGCTGCCCGCTAGGGGCGGCGATGGGGCCGGGTAGGGGCGGCGACGGGGCCGCTAGGGGCGGCGAAGGGGCCGTGTAGGGAGGGGAGCGGCAACGGGGCCGCTAGGGGCGGCGACGTGGACGCGTAGGGGTGGCTACGAGGCAGCGTAGGGGCAGCGACGGGGCCGCGTAGGGAGGGGAGCGGCGACGGGGCCGCTAGGAGCGGCGACGGGGCCGCGTAGGGGCGGGGTCGAGGCCGCGTAGGGGCGGCAATGGGGCCGCGTAGGGAGGTTAGCGGCGACGGGGCCGCTAGGGGCGGCGACGGGGCCGCGTAGGGGCGGCGACGGGGCCGCGTAGGGAGGGGAGCTGCTACAAGGCCGCTAGGGGCGGCTACGGGGCCGCTTAGGGGCGGCAACGGGGCCGCGTAGGTAGGGAGGCGGCAACGGGGCGGCGACAGGGCCGCTAGGGGCGGCGACGGGGCCGCGTAGGGGCGGTGACGAGGTCGCTAGGGGCCTGGAAGGGCGGCTACGGGGCCGCTAGGGGCTGCGATGGGGCCGCTGAGGGTGGCGCGAGGGGCCGTGAGAGGGGCCTCTAAGAGAGGTCGACAGAAGGGCAGCCCACAAGGCGCGCCTCAGGCAGGAGCGACTATCGCTCCGGTCAGAAAAAAAGTTTTCAGTGGTGGGCCCAAGGAAGCGTTCCCACTAGGGAACCTGCTCTATACCATGTGAAGAAATGAGGAATGAATGAACTAGCAAGCAGGTGGGTACAAGTAGGAAAACCTAGAAGTGTTGTACCCCATATTGTCTACCCCACTACAGCCTACACAGACTATAGCGTATTAGTTTGACAGCGACCGCGGGGAGGAGCGAGAGGCGATGGCGGGGAGGAGGGAGAGGCGACCGTGGGGAGGAGGGAAAGGCGACAGTGGGGAGGAGGAGAGGCGACGACGGGGAAGGGGGAGATGCGACGGCGGGGAGGAGGAGAGGCTACGGCGGGGAGGAGGAGAGGCGACGGCGGGGAGGAGGGAGGCGACGGCGGGGAGGACGGAGAGGCGACGACGGGGGGAGATGCGACGGTGGGGAGGAGTATAGGCGACGGCGGGGAGGAGGGAGGCAACGGCGAGGAGGAGGGAGGCGATGGCGGGGAGGTAAGGGAGAGGAGATGGCGAGGTGGATGGTACGAAGTCATTGTGAGGTGGGTTGGAGAGGTGTCAGCGGGTAGTGAGGGAGAGAATACGGCTAGATGGAGCGAGAGCGACGGCTAGGTAGGAGAAGAACAGGCGAGAAGGGGTGGGGGGGGAGGGGAGGAAAATGAGTAGGAGCAGAGCAGGTTCTTGTCGAGAAGATTCAAGAACAAGAACCAAGAAAAGACAGCGCCGAATTCGAGCTGTGAAAGAGACGGATGTGTCTGAACATTATAGCTTATACATTTGTGTAGGCTCTAGTGGGGTAGCCCATAAGGGGTACAACACAATAAGGGTTAGTACTTGTACCCAACTCTTTCATAGTTCAATCATTCTCTCGTTCTCATCTTCACATGGTATAGAGCTGGTTCCCTCGTGGGAACTGTTCCTAGGGCCCACCGACTTTTTTTTTTTTTTTCTTTCCTGCCCGGAGCACGCTTGGCCCCTGCCCGAGTCGCGCCCCGTGTCGTTCCCCCTTTAGCGGCCCCTTTTACGGCCCCTAACGGCCCCGTCGCGCCGCCCTTTCGGCTCCGTCGCGCCGCCCTTGCGGCCCTGTCGCGCCGCCCTTGCGGCACCGTCGCGCCGCCCTTTACGCGGCCCCGTCGCCGCCCCTTCCTGCGGCCCCGTCACCGCCCTTTCAGCGGCCCCGTCTCCGCCCTTCCACGGCCCCAATGCTGCCCTTCCACGGCCTCGCCGCCCGCCCCTACAGCGGCCGCGTCGCCCGCCCTTTTGCGGCCCCGTCGCCGCCCCTTCCTGCGGCCCTGTCGCCGCCCTTTCAGCGGCCCTGTCGCCGCCCTTCCACGGCCCCATCGCCGCCCTTCCACGGCCTTGCCGCCCGCCCTTACAGCGGCCCCGTCGCCCGCCCTTTCGCGGCCCCGTCGCCACCCTCCAGCGGCCCCGTCGCCGCCCTTCAGTGGCCCCGTCGCTGCCCTTTAAGCGGCCCCGTCGCCGCCCGCCCTTTTTGCGGCCCCGTCGCCGCCCTTCCACAGCCCCGTTGCCGCCCTTCCACGGCCTCGCCGCCCGACCTTACAGCGGCCCCGTCGTCCGCCCTTCCGCGGCTCCGACACCGCCCTTCCTCGGCCCCGTCGCCGCCCTCCAGCGGCCCCGTCGCCGCCCTTCAGCGGCCCCATCGCCGCCCTTTTCAGTGGCCCCGTCGCCGCCCATTCAGCGGCCTCGTCGCCGCCCTCCCACGGCCCCGTCGCCGCTCAGACGCCCAGCGCCCGAGCCGCAGATCAGCTGAGCCGCAAAGCAGCCGAACCGCCAAGCAGCCGAACCGCCGAGCAGCCGAGCTGCCCGACCACCGGGCCGCCCTGCAACCAAGCCGCCCGACCGCCGAGCCGCCCAGCAGCCGAGCCGCCGAGCAGCCGAGCCGCCCGACCGCCGATCTGCCCAGCAACCGAGCCGCCGAGCCGCCCGACCGCCCCACTTGCCTGGTAAGAGCCCAGTCTCTGCCACTGCACTGCCCTACCCCATTGTACTTACTGCCTGTCTACTGCTGTCATGGCCTCCCCTAGTGTGCTCACCTTTGACGCCGAGGGTCGGGCAGTGGACTTTGAGGTCTGGGTAGATGATCTGCAGCTTTTCCTACAGTGCGATAGGGCAGACAGTCTCTCCCTGTTCGACCTCACTTCTGGTGGCTCTCCCGCCCTTGCTACTGATGCTGACGCCACTGTTCGCTCACAGTGGGCCACGCGCGATGCTGCTGCTCGCCATGCTGTGCCCCGCCACTTACCGACCACTGAGCGCGCGCATTTCAGCCAGTACAAGAGTGCTCAGACCTTGAACGACGCTGTAGTTGCACGCTACTCTTCCCCTGCCACTGCTGCATTGAGCCGCCTCATGGTACCGTACCTCTTCTCTAACCTTGCTGCCTTTCCCACAGTCGCTGACCTTATTACGCACCTCCGCACTAGTGACACTCGCTACCGCGCTGCGCTTCCTGCTGAGTTCTGCGTCAAGAACCCCCCCCCCATGTACATCACCCTCTACTACATAGTCACCCGGCTCCCTGACTCTGTCCGTGTAGTCAGGGACCACTTCCTCTCAGTTTGCCCCACCACTCTCACCATTGACCTTCTCGAGAAGGCCCTCCTAGCGGCAGAGAAGAGCATAGTCGCTGTAGGAGCCTCTCGTGGTCACCCTCGCACCCCCGTCTTTGAGGGGTGTTCTCCCTCCCCCCTCTTGCCCTCTGTTGCCTCTGCTGCTGCGGCCGACCTCGTTGGTTTCGAGTCGGTCGGCGATGCGTCTGCCCCGAGCGGGAAACGCCGCACCGTCAAGGGCAAGGGGGGCAAGGGCACTGGAGGGGCTGGAGGGGGCGGTGGAGGTGGCGGTGGAGGCAGTGGGGGTGGTAGTGGGAGTGGTGCCGGGGGTGGCGGCGGCGGCGGCAGCAGTGGAGGCGGCGGAGGCGGTGGTGGTGGCGGAGGGAGCGGAGGCGGCGGAGGGAGCGGAGGCGGCGGAGGTGGAGGAGGAGGTGGAGGTGGAGGAGGCGGCGGAGGCGGCGGTGGCGGCGGCGGTGGTGGAGCGAGTCGCGACTCTGCGCAGAGGAGTGGCTCAGGTGGTGGTCCGCACCAGCAGTAGAGGAGTGGTGTGACCCTGTACCCTCAGCAGCTTCGTGAGTGGTACACTGCGCGTCAACGCGGTGGGGGTTTTGGTCCCTGCACTTACATCCTCCGTACCGGCGAGCGAGCTAATGAGCACTGCAGAGGCCCACACTCCACCCAGCGCTGCTTCAGTCACCTGACGGACGCGTGGCGTCGCCAGTTCCCTGAGGCGACAGAGATCCCTTGCTGGGGAGATCTATCTAGGGCAGGGATTGCCTTCTTTTATCTTGACTATGCTGCTATTCATGCTGCCATGTATGCCGTTGATGATAGTGTTGTGGGTGACTGTTGCCTGTGTATACCACCTGAACCGGGCATTGAGGCTACTGCTCTAGGTGCTGGTGAGGCTACTGCTCGCGGTGCTAGTGCGTCAACTTCCCCAGGTGCTAGTGCGTCTGCTGCCCCAGGTGCTGGTGAGTCTGCGCTCTCAAGTACAATGTCGGCTGAGGCCTTACACACCTTCACCCTTGACTCGGGTGCGTCCCGCTCCTTCTTTCGAGACCACACCACTCTTACGCCGCTCAGGTTCCCCACCTGGGGCAAACATTGTCAGTGGCATGTGGATTTTCAGGGTGAAGCGGCCGCCGGGTTCTCTGCTTGTCTTCAAGGCGCGCTACGTGGCTCGAGGCTTCAGTCAGCGGCAAGGAGTTGACTACTTTCAGACCTTCTCTCCCACCCCGAAGATGACGACTCTTTGGGTGCTGCTGCACATAGCTACTCAGCGCGACTACGAGCTTCACTCTATTGACTTGAGCACAGCTTTCCCGTAGGGCAGCCTGCACGAGGAGATCTGGCTGCGCCGCCCACCTGGCTTCACTGGGTTGTTTCCTCCTCGTACCCAGTGGAGCCTTCGGCGGCCAGTCTACGGTCTCCGCCAGGCGCCCCGTGAGTGGCAGGACACACTGACGACTTGGTCTTTGCCACTGCTAACATTGCTGGACTCGCCCACGTGAAGTCCGAGCTGTAGAAGAGACACACGTGCACAGACCTGGGTGAACTGCGCAGCTACCTTGGCTTGCAGATCACTCGGGACAGAGCACAGCGCACCATTACTCTGACTCAGTCACACATGGTGCAGCAGGTCCTTTAGCGCTTCGACTTCACGCACTCCTCGCCGCAGGCCACTCCTTTGTCTACTCGCCACTCGCTCTCAGCTCTGCCTTTGGATGAGTCCGTAGAGTCGAGTGGCCCGTACCCAGAGCTTGTTGGCTGCCTCATGTACCTAATGACCTGCACACGACCTGACCTTGCATACCCTCTTAGCATCTTGGCAGGCTATGTTTCTCCTGGGAGACACAGACCAGAGCAGATTGCTGTAGCGAAGAGGGTGTTGCGCTACGTGTGCAGTACGTCGGGCGTGGGACTAGTGCTTGGAGGGCGACGTCGAGTGGTCCTGATAGGTTACGTAGACGCTTCTTGGGCTGACGACCAGGCTCTGCAGCGGTCGTCACAGGGTTACACCTTCAGCCTTGGCTCCGGCTCTGTTTCGTGGCGGTCTACCCGCTCGTCTTCTGTTCTCAGCTCCACCTATGAGGCTGAGATCTACACAGGGGCCATGGCTGCACAGGAGCTACGCTGGCTCACCTACCTGCTGACTGACCTAGGAGAGCCGCCTCGTTCTCCTCCAATTCTGTACGTAGACAACAAGGCCATGTTGGCCTTGCGTCGGAAGCACATAGTGGAGCACAGAACGAAGCACATTGCTCTCCGCCACTTTCTGGCTCGTGAGTTGCAGTAGCGTGGTCAGCTCCGCCTCACCTACGTGGCCTCTGAGGCCAACACTGTGAACTGGCCTTGTGACCTTATTCTTGTGCTCGGACTGTGTGGTGACTTTGTGATCCACCCTGAGCTTGCTTTGCTTTGCTTGACTGGTCTTGTGACCACTTGTTCTCCCCGATTTTGCCTATGGGGGTGTGTCTGAACATTATAGTTTATACATTTGCTCATAAGGGGTACAACCCAATTATGGTTAGTACTTGTAGCCAATTCTTTCATAGTTCAATCATTCTCTCGTTCTCATCTTCATAGGATGCTAGCGCAGAATAAGAAAATTTCTGCGAGCAGAGCGAGAAAATTTAGGGCATGTTAATTTTATTTTTTTTTTCGTCCTAACGGCCAGCGATTCGGACGATTGTGTGGTTACTGAATTCGTTAAATTTCGGCATTGAGTTCGTCAGGGTCTAACAGACGTCGCATTTGTATCGCCTCGTTACGACATTGAATTGGTCGCAACGCGACCGTACGCCGTCGCAATTTTCGCACGTATCCGGACAGCCGTCCGGACTTTCAGCTACTTAAAAAAATGTAGCATGCCCTTATGCCAGCACAGGAGGAGGGCATTCAGCGATACCAAACGCCCAACCCGTTATAATAAGGTGAAAGATTAATGGAGTTAAGTTGTTGGTGAAAATAGTTCATGTTTATAAAAATCACAAAAAGAGCATACGTGTCTACATTGTTCCACAATTAATTAACAACTTTGAGGGAAGTAACACCTGTAGAACATTTCGCTTTATAAGAAGGAAATATAGAGCGTGACCTGATTTAAGTAAAAATGAAGAACTTAATGAATTGCTTCTATAAGCAAAGTATAGTTATAATGTATGTACCCTATCTTAGTGTTTCTAACAGTATGTTTCTTATACAAGGGATACAACTCTACGCAACTGTAAGTATTTACAATTTTTTACTGAGGCACTCTTTAGCTAGGACATCCTGAGGTTCACGCGACGAACCTGTCCTTCCTGTTTCGTCGCACCGAACCACTCCCGATTCGGCCTTCGCTCCAATCGCAACCATCACCGAGCCATCCTCACCCAGCTTCCACGACTAGCTAGGACGTCCCCTATTTTGGTCTCTTGACTTCCATTGTATCGTCATTCTGTAATTCTCATTCTCGTTATTCGTTTTACTGCGCACTCTGCAAGTTCATTCATAACAGCAACCCTTCCCGACGTAAACGTCGAGTCTTGTTTAGTAACCAAATTTCGAGCGTTTCGTGTCGTTGTGGCGAAAATGTTTGCTGTAACGCTCTGGGAGAGGGTCGTCGAATGCTCCAAGAAAGCGCATCTGGTCGCACAAAGCGTTTTGAGTGCAATTGGAATCTCTGACGAGACTATATCAGGAAATGCCTTCATGTTTCCATTGTTCTCAAAAGAGCCTTGTTCTACATTTTCTAGCTTTCAGCTCAGAAACTCATCGTTTTGTCAGTAAAACTCGGGCGCGATGACGAAAGTTTATTCTGGGATTACTGTACGCGAGAGTGATGGCGACTTTAATCTCCGTCTGCCAAAGAGGCGGATGTCATCGTCTATGGGCTTCTGTAGAATCGCATCAGCTCCGCCACTAGCAGCGCGGAAGCCGGCGGGGTATGACGCTCAAGCAGATTGAAGTAATACCTGAAGGCCGCGTGCGACGTCTCGCGGAGTTATCTGTCGCGCAACGATGCGACAGACCATGATCAGCAGCAGCAGAGTCGCTCCCAAATTTCGAATCGGTTTCCTTCTTTCGGCGACTCGTCCTTGGCGGTGTCTTGAGTCGGCGCTGCTGCTGCTGCGGGTCGCCATCCACCTTTGCTGCGGTTAGGATCAATCCCGGTAAACGGGGATCCGCAGTATCACTGATGAAATTCCCGCCTGTACTATTTCGTTCACCATCCAATTGCCATCTGTCGAAGGTCTTCTCCTGACGGTCGCTGTTGCCTGTGAGGCGAGTCGCCATTCGCGTGAGTCGGATGGCAACTCGCTGACGATCGGCTGCATGCACGGGACTTCTCTTTGCGGCGTATTTCCTCTAAGGCGTCGGAGTTGCTGTGCACCCATGCTTTGATACCCTTGCAAATGTGAATGGGGTTGTTGCAAAGACACGGTGACGCTGATGCTCATGGTACGCTGCAGCTTTTCGTGTTTCACCATTCCCTGCATGGTGCAACAGCAAACCGTCTTGTTGGCGGTGCTTGAATGAGGGCTGTCTGCTACAGTCGTGATAGATGGCGTGACACGTGAAGCGGAACTAGAAACATCACGCGTGGGAATAATTGAACAGGTTTAGGTGGACATGTTTGTAACGGCAAATGACTCATGAGAAATCCTGTTACTGCATCTTGTTGGCTCCCCTGTCCCCACTTAACGCTCCAGATCCTCTCTCCCATCCTGCCTCTCCCCCGTTCCTTCCCCCTCCCCTCCCCCCCACCCTTTCCTCACTTCCCATACCCCCCCCCTTGTTTCCCCCTCTTCAGCCTGTCCTTAATCCCCGCTTCTCTGCTCCATGCTCACCGTAGCTCCAATTAATGGAGGCCAATCGCGCACATGAGAGGCTGGGAGCCAGGACCCCAGCATCGCATGGCTGCTCTCACATGCCACTTGAGCAAGCTGTGGCGTGGCTTCGGATGGACGTGCAAGACGAATGGGGTGAGTGCAGCTGAGTGAAATAGCTGGGATGCAGTGGAATGGAATAGCTGGGTGTTGCCAGAGTGAGAGCGGTGAGGGGTGCGCATGTGTGAGGGAAGCAGGGAGGGGTCTATGTGGGGTAGGGGCGTGTGTGAGAGTCACTCAAGGGAAGGGAGACGTGAAGGGGGGATGTAGAGGGATGAAGGGGTTGCAAGGGCAGGGAGGTGAAGGGGGGGGAAGGGGTGGAAAAAAGGGGGTGTCGGAATCCTCGCTGTCACCTGCTCCTGTCTCTTCACTCTTGCTGCCCTTCCCTCTCATCTCTGCTTCCTTCTTGTTCCTGCTCCCCTGTTACCTCCTTTGTACTCAGCCACTTGAGAGATTCTGGCTCCCACACGATGGCTGCCTTCAGTGGCCTAGTCACCTAGCTGCTGTAGCGTTACCTCGGCAACTTATATCCACTATGTTAGGCAAACAAACGAGAGAACAGCTTGGTATGTCCCGCCTAGGCTACTCATTGCCCTGTCCCGAGTCGTGAGTGCCCTCGACAACCTGGGTTGGCTTCGAGTCGCCCTCACTTTGGATTGGCCACTGCAAATTTCCTGTCCATCGAGGCCCTTGAACTCTCCCCACTGAACTTCGCAATTCCCACTGCTACCAACTTCCCGTCACTCCCCTGAGACCCAACAACCCCTTTGGTAACATTACATGACACATTTCTACACCCTTCTAAACCCCAACTAGCGAGAAACTGAATGTATTGAATATATCAATAGATTCTGTGACAGGGGGAGGGTGCTTCTGGGGCGGGCGGCGTCCAGAGAGGATGCGTAGGGTGTTACCGACGGGTGGAAGGGGCTTAGGGGCCTGGGATGCGGCTGACAAGCTGGAAAGTAGGGGAAGGAAGATGCGTGTGGGAAGGAATCACTCGAGACTCTCGAGCCACTCGCGGGTGACTGTGGCAAGTGGACAGCTGAATAGCTGGATATCGCCAAGGAGGGAGTCTCCTCCTTGCCACTGATACCGGCGCAAGTGGCGTTGGCGGCATCAGTGGCAGCAGCGGGGAGCACGGGGGGTAGGGCAAGAAGGGGGGCGAAGGGGCGTTGACAAACTCGAAGTCGGCGAATTGCTAATGTGAGACGCCCTGAGGTGAGATGCCTGAGGGGAGAAAGCAAGGGAGAAGGGGCGGTGAAGAATTGGGGTTTCAAGGAAGGGGGGCTCAAGGAAGGCGCGTTGAAGGAAGGGGGGTGAAGGAAGGCAGGTTGAAGCAAGGAGTTTGATGGAAAGGCGGGAGAAGGAAGTGGGGAGAGGGGAGAGGCAATGTGTGAGAGGCAATGTGTGAGAGGCTGTGAGCAGTTTTTGTGGTGGGGAGAGAGGATGTATGCTAGAGTTCACTTGAAGGACTGGCAGGGGCTGCCCAGGGCAGTGCGGCTGATGGAGCTGGCGGATGCTAGTGGTGATGCGCTGGAGCTCCAAGGGGAGTTCAAGAGGACTGTCCACAACACCCTTCAACTCTCCCTTCCCACCCACCTATGCACAATTCCTCCGTTCCCACCCTCACCTCATCCCTGATTCATCCAGCTCTGTATCCATCCTGCTTGCTGTTCTCATGCCCTCTTGCACGCACTCGCTCAGCCACACTGCTTGCCCAGGCACCATCTCAGCCACACTGCTTGCCCAGGCACCATCTCAGCCAAACTGCTTGCCCAGGCACCATCTCAGGACCATCTCAAACCTATCCCTTCTCGTTACCTTTACGCACTCCCCTTTCGTTTGTCCCTTCCCCCTGCCTTTTCCAACCCCCCAAACCCTTACCCCTCCCTTTTCCTGTAACCCCTCCCTCCCCCCTTACCTCCTCCCCATCCCCGAACCCACCCCCCTCCCCTGACCCGCTTCCTTTCCCCCTTACCCATTCCCGCTCCCGTTACCTCCTTCACTTTAACCGTGCCCCCTTCACTTTCCCCTTTCTGCTTCTCATTCTGCCTCCCAACCCTTCCCGCACCCCTCCCCTCATCCTAAACATCTACCGGGACTCGTCTAGGCTCTTTCGTGCCCCGACTTGCGACTTGTCCCCGTCGAATCTACATGGGCCGATTGGAATGGCTGGGCCTGTGATGTGCGTGCGCAGGCATCACCACAAGAGTCAAGCCGGACAATGACCTCACCTCGCCTCGCCTCGCCTCGCCTCGCCTTGCCTTGCCTTCCTGGAATGATGCCTCGCCTCGCCTCGCCTCGCGCCTGCGTCTCCTGCACCCCCACGTGTCGCCTGCCTGCCCAAATTCTCATGCTATCCTTCCCACCATGGCGCAGCTCCCTTCCCTCCTTCCCTGCTCTCTCAAATAGTCCTTGTATTGATTCAAACGTGCACACGGCAAATAATGAGAGAGCAAGGTAAGCTGATCTCCGCCATCCTTAGTAAATCTATATCCTCTAAGCCCGTCCATATCCTCTAAGCCCGTCCATATCCTCTAAGCCCGTCCATATCCTCTAAGCCCGTCCATATCCTCTAAGCCCGTCTCTCCCTCTCCAATCCTCTCACCTTCCACTCCCCACCTCAACTCCCTCATTTGCTCCCCCGCTCGCACCCTCCTAGCTGGCTTCATTTCAGCCCCTTTTGAGGATCATCATGTTTGATACAAGCATCACTCTGCTCATTTTCCCTCCTTTCGCGCCCCTCCCATGCTTTCCAACTCCGCACCTGCTTCTACACCCACTCCCGCCCCATGAATTCCCGCCACTACGGCGCGAGCACAGTGTTCACGGGCAACCTGTGGCCTCGAGGGCTGCTGAGTGCACTCCGTACCAAGATATTCTCTCTTCAACACACCTTACTGCTGATGTTCACGGGTACCGTTCATTGCTGGCTGGGTGAAGAAGGTACGTCGGTGGTGCAAGGGGCTAATTGTGGGGCACCAGTGGGTCACTACTGGGTTGGTGGTAGGTCACTCTCAGGTCACTATCAGGTCAGTATCAGGTCAGTATCAGGTCACTATCAGGTCACTATCAGGTCACTATCAGGTCACTATCAGGTCACTATCAAGTCACTATCAGGTCACTCTCAGGTCACTATCAGGTCACTATCAGGTCACTCTCAGGTCACTATCAGGTCACTATCAGGTCACTATCAGGTCACTATCAGGTCACTATCAGGTCACTATCAGGTCACTATCAGGTCACTATCAGGTCACTCTCAGGTCATTATCAGGTCACTCTCAGGTCACTATCAGGTCACTATCAGGTCACTATCAGGTCACTCTCAGGTCATTATCAGGTCACTATCAGGTCATTATCAGGTCACTATCAGGTCACTATCAGGTCATTATCAGGTCATTATCAGGTCACTCTCAGGTCACTATCAGGTCACTATCAGGTCATTATCAGGTCACTATCAGGTCACTATCAGGTCACTATCAAGTCACTATCAGGTCACTATCAGGTCACTATCAGGTCACTATCAGGTCATTATCAGGTCACTATCAGGTCACTATCAGGTCACTATCAGGTCACTATCAGGTCACTCTCAGGTCATTATCAGGTCACTATCAGGTCATTATCAGGTCACTATCAGGTCACTATCAGGTCACTCTCAGGTCACTATCAGGTCATTATCAGGTCACTATCAGGTCACTATCAGGTCACTATCAGGTCACTATCAGGTCACTATCAGGTCACTATCAGGTCACTATCAGGTCACTCTCAGGTCATTATCAGGTCACTATCAGGTCATTATCAGGTCACTATCAGGTCACTATCAGGTCATTATCAGGTCACTATCAGGTCACTATCAGGTCACTATCAGGTCACTCTCAGGTCACTATCAGGTCACCATCAGGTCACTCTCAGGTCACTATCAGGTCACTATCAGGTCACTATCAGGTCACTATCAGGTCATTATCAGGTCACTATCAGGTCACTCTCAGGTCACTATCAGGTCACTATCAGGTCACTATCAGGTCACTCTCAGGTCATTATCAGGTCATTATCAGGTCACTATCAGGTCACTATCAGGTCATTATCAGGTCACTATCAGGTCACTATCATGTCACTATCAGGTCACTATCAGGTCACTATCAGGTCACTATCAGGTCACTATCAGGTCACTATCAGGTCACTATCAGGTCACTATCAGGTCACTATCAGGTCACTATCAGGTCACTATCAGGTCACTATCAGGTCATTATCAGGTCACTCTCAGCTCACTATCAGGTCACTATCAGGTCACTATCAGGACACTATCAGGTTACTATCAGGTCACTCTCAGGTCATTATTGTCCCCCCATCCCCTTCCCCTTACACTTTCCCATCCCCGTCCCTTTCTCCACTCCCATCCACTTCTCAATCGTCTCCACCATCCCCCTTCTCCACGTTTTCCCCCTCCACGTCCCCATCGTCATTGCCATCTCCCACTTCCGCAGGTGTGCATAGTGCAGCCAGCAGCAGGTGTGCATAGTGCAGCCAGCAGCAGCTCCAATTCGCCCTGCTCTCTCCCTCTCTCCCCCTCTCTCTCCTTCCGGCCATGCTCCCCCCCAACTACCCACCACTGAGGTTAGTAGTACCTTGTATTGAACCTGCCTCTCTGACTCAGGTAAGTGCTCTCATTTATCTCCTGTGGCGCCTCCGCTGCCATTCGCACCCAATTGTCTCTTGTGTCAACCATCAAATGTGGAGGAGACTGTCACTTACAGCCTGCGCCTAGAATGCAAGGGTTCGAAAAAACTGAACTTGATAAGGGTTGCGCGAATTTCGACGAGAGGAGAATTTGCCGGCGGCAGGTGGCGAAGGCGGAATGCTCCAGAGTGTATCGCAACTTCAAGAAACTTGAACAAACACTAACGACAAAACAATACCCAACCACTCTCACGCTGCTCACAACTCAGATTTTCGCCGAGTCCACAAGCGCACTCTTGGAGCAGGCTGAGAAAAGCATGCGATGGGACCAGATTGTTAGAACATGAGTGTAAGGAAACGAAGTATCTAGACTTTGCAAGGTATAACATGTGGGAATATATGCGTTTAGGCCGCAATCGATAGGAATCCGAGAACCAAGGGAGGGAATGTGGCACAAATGCGAGCGCGAAGCATGGAAATGTGCGGCACGAGATGAGAAATTAGAGCGTTGTCAACCTTGCATTCACCGTCCGGCGCCCTCGCTTCCCCCTCCCATCGCCCTCGCTTCCCCCTCCCATCACCCTCGCTTCCCCCTCCCATCGCCCTCGCTTCATCGCATCACGCTATTACCCCATCACCCTATCTCCCCATCACCCTATCTCCCCATCACCCTATCTCCCCATCACCCTATCTCCCCATCACCCTATCTCCCCATCACCCTATCTCCCCATCACCCTATCTCCCCATCACCCCATTATTCCATTATTCCATGACTCCATTACTACATCTCGTGTCTACTACCATCCCATCGATCCATAACCCAAATCATTCCCACCATACCTAGAACATCTGCCTAGTGCCAGTGGTCTAGTGGTAGAATGGCACCCTGCCATCAGTTCGGTGCAGACCCGGGTTCGATTCCCGGCTGGCACAGATTTGTTTTCTAGCTTTTGCCGCGAACTGGACCATCCCATTGGACTTAATTAAGTCCATGCCATCAACCGCTTGATAGCAGTCTCCCCATGCATTGGCTTTGGCCCTCACTACAATGGTTGATGTTAAATAGCTTTGGAAGGTCACTGCATGTGCCCACCTCCCGTGGTTGCATGAGGCACAAGCTACGAACCAGGAGCTAGGTAGGAGAAAGGAGACTCATATTCAGGCATCTTCATGTTCCTCCCATTTGAAGGGCCTCAACAATCGAACCGAAGAGCCAGGAGACCCGTACTTATGCACATTCATGTTCCTCGGCTCTCTCCACCTACTCCCAACCCCACTGCCCAGCCCTCCCCACCTCTTTCACCGCAGCATGGCTGGGCGGTTCAACCGCCAGCTCCCTTCTCCCGACCTCTCCAATCCCGGTTCCACCATCCCTCCCCTGCATCAACCCATCCCCCCCCTGCATCAACCCATCCCTCCCCTGCATCAACCCATCCCTCCCCTGCATCAACCCATCCCTCCCCTGCATCAACCCATCCCTCCCCTGCATCAACCCATCCCTCCCCTGCATCAACCCATCCCTCCCCTGCATCAACCCATCCCTCCCCTGCATCAACCCATCCCTCCCCTGCATCAACCCATCCCTCCCCTGCATCAACCCATCCCTTCCCTGCATCAACCCATCCCTCCCCTGCATCAACCCATCCCTCCCCTGCATCAACCCATCCCTTCCCTCCATCAACCCATCCCTCCCCTGCATCAACCCATCCCTCCCCTGCATCAACCCATCCCTCCCCTGCATCAACCCATCCCTCCCACCAACCCACACCTTTGCAGCTCTCCCGCCCATCAGGGCAGGGCGCTACAGCATGAACATCCCCCCGCCTTACCTCGCTATCCCCCTGTCATAGCTTTCCTCGTTGTTTCCTCCTCCTTCCCTACCATCCATTCCACCATCCAAAACCCCACACGTTTCCACCTCTTCCAGTGAATCATGGCAGGATGCTATGGTGTGCTGTGCACTGCAGCTCTCTCTGCCCTTCCTTGTCTGCGCATGTTCGTTGCTTCCCCTGCCCTTTATCAACCCCCCACTCCCCTCACTCCCGTTCTTCCTTCCACTTCTCCCGCCCACTCCTGTTCATGCCGGGGTGCTACGGAGTGCACCTCGCCCTGTGAATCAAGACGTGCATGGCAGCGCATGGGGCGCGGCCCATCCATCCCATAATATTTTGTCGTCAAAATCCCTTGAAACCTTTTCTTGTCAACAGCTGCCCTACTAAAATCATCGATGTGACTTAGCAGCATACACAGGCTCCCCACACGGCGCTACCCTACTCTCCAAGTTGCTCCAACAGCCCAATTCTGCAGCCACAGGGCCACATCACCACTCCCATCAGTTTCTCCCTTAAACGCCAACAGGCCCTATTCGGCAGTCGCAAGGCCAAGATGATCGCCCTTAGAGCACTGAGCGGGGGCGTCTCAACACTGGACTGGCTCTCGTGAACTGGGCGCCTTTCCCGGCTGTGTGCCCTGCCTATACTCAGCTTTCATCTTCCTTCCCTTTCTCTGCCTTCTTTCCTGCACTGCCTGCCTGCCCTGCCTTCCGTAACCCTTCCTTCTGTTGGTGCAAGGCCAATTACACTACTCACATCACACCACTTGTTCCTCAGCCTCAGCATTATGTAGCGTCTTCGGCAGTGTGCTCTTTGTTGGGCTGAGAAAAGCCCTTAGGATCTTTTGCAGAGGATAACTCTTGGGTAGAAACTTGTAATAGCGGAAGCGTTTAATGAAGATTGTGAACCAACCTTGCACTAGTGTGTGAGAGCAAAGTAGATTAAATTACACGAGCAAATACAAGGATTTATATAAGAGTACAGGGAATACGAATAGATAGATAACTGTATTGCTGTTGCGATTCGATACAGTGCGACTCGGGCAACTGCTCTGTAACGAGTCAGTTGTGTGTCCTTAACTGTCGCGCTGTAATTGTCGAGTCAAAGGTCGCTGACCTTTGACTTTCTCGTAACCTCCAGGAGGTTACCCTAACCTCCGAGCTTGACTCGATGCTTCGATTGGGACTGCTTCGTTTGGTGCCTTGGATTTTGACACGACAGAAACGCATTTAAGGCTTATTGTTTCCAACCCTCCCCTTCGCTTCTGGAGTGTCGCTGCTGGTGACGTGGCCTTGTCCAGTCAGCATCATGCAGTATTCGAACTTCTGCTTTCCGAGTTTCTTGGTCAAGTAATCGGCTGCCATCTCGGATGTTGGACAGTATGACAGATCGAGTTTCCTCTTCTCGATCTCGTCCTTCACGAAGAAATAGCGTAGGGCGATGTGTTTCGTCCTGTTTGCGAAACCGTTTTTGTTGGCGATGCGAATTGCTGACTGGTTGTCGCAGAACACGGTGAAGCTGGGTAACTCGGCTAGCTTCGCTTCTTCCAGTAGTTCGCGAAGGTAGAGTCCCTCCTTGGTGGCTGAGCAGAGTGCAATATATTCTGCTTCTGCTGAGGACAGTGCGATTAACTCCTGCTTGCTCGACTGCCAGGAGATAGGACCGATAGGCTCAAGGCGGTAGACATAGCCGGTGCGTGAGCGCCTGTTATCGGTGTCGCCGGCGTGATCGGCGTCGACGTAGCCGATTAGCTTGGTCGGTGTAGTCACGTTTTTGTGATAAGTTAGTCCGATCGTCGCGGTGCTGACGAAGTAGTGAAGAGCACGATCGAGTTCCGCCAGATGCTCTGCTTCAGGCCTCTTAAGATAGGTGGCAAGCTGGCTCGCGGAGTAGGATAGATCAGGACGGCATGTGACTGCTGCAAAGAGGAGGCATCCGAGCTTCTTCTAATAGTCGCGTATGCCGGCGGGCTTGAGTAGAGTAGATTGCCCCTTTTCGGTTCCTGACGTGTAGCGGTAAGGCGTGGAGATGGCGCTTGGTGTGAGGCGAAAACGTTTCGCGATAGTGTCGGCGTACTTCTCGGCGCTTAGGTAGATTGCGTTTTCCTCCTCAGGGATGTTGAGCCCGAGGTACTGCATAACCGTAGGGGAGACCGTGAGCGTGAGGTCTTTCTGAAGCTCCCCTTCGAACCACGTGGCGATGTCGTCGGTTGAACCAATGTAGAGGAGATCGTCAACGTAGACGATTAGTAGGACGTAATCGCTTCCTTTTGTGAGGCGATACATGCCCTGGTCATGCGGGAGTTGTTTGAAGCCGATGCGGGTGAGACGGGCGTGTAGGTACTGCTGCCATAGTCACGGTGCCTGCTTGATCCCATAGAGTGATTTGAGTAGTTGACACACTCGGTTGGGTTCGCCGTGGGAGCCGTGCGGGAGTTCGACGAAGATTTCTGCATCCACAGGTGCGTAGAGGAATGCGTTCGCAACGTCGATTTGTCGTAATTTCCTTTTCTTCATGGCGGCGACGGCTTTGAGAATTCGGAGTGAGGTGTGATAGCTGACCGGAGCGAAGGTTTCGGTGTAATCTCTTCCGTGCTCCTGGTCGAAGCCACGTACGACCCAACGGGCTTTGAATTTGTCGATGGTGCCATCAGCTTTCGTCTTCACACGGAAGACCCATTTCCCGGTAAGAATAGTTTTGTTTTGGGCTACGCCGATGGGAACAATTTTCCAGGTGTTGCGCTCCTCCAGTGCCTTCAGCTCTTTGTCCATGGCTTCACGCCATTTCTCCCTGTGTTCCCCCCCCAGAGCCTGTTGAACCGTCGCAGGCTCCTTAGGAATGCCGGCGCCATGGACTGCGGTGACGAGACCGAGGATTTGCAGCCCAGTCTGTGAGTATCGAGGGAGTTCTGGATCCTCGGGATAAGCTGCTTCGTCTCCCGCTTCTGGGTCGGGCATGAAATTTGGCCCTACCCTTTCTGCTTCGTTGGTGTTGACTGTCACAGGTGTTACGTAACCATCGTCGGCGAAACGGTAGAAGACTTCGGCGTTGTTACTGTCGCGAGGATTATCCTCATCCATGGGCACGTCGACGGAGCAGTATGGGAGAGGTCCGGCTTCCTCCGAGGCGTTGTCGACGTTCTGTTCATCCCAGTCTGTTTCGTCCGCTGCTGACGCGAAGGCTCGGTCACCACGAAAGCCACTGGTGAGGTCCCGATTCTCGTGCAAGTTGGCGAGGTACGTCTGAAGGGTGAGTCTTTCGTAGAAGATCACGTCACGTGCTGCTACTGTTTCCTTTGTGTGGACGTCGAAGATCTTCCATGCGTTGTAATTTTTCTCGATGCCGAGGTGTAGTCCCCACTGTGCCCGTTGCGAAAATCTTCCCGCTCGTGCTTCTGGGGGTCTGTACTGTACCATGCACCCAAAAACTCGTAACATTTTTGTGCTGCCCTGCTTCCCTGTCCACAGCAGATGCGGTGATGCGTTGTTCGGGAGTGACGACGACGACAACAAATTGTGCAGCATGACAGCGTGGTCCATTGCTGCTGGCCACTGGTGGTTGGGTAGCCGCATGCCCCGTAACAGTTTGCGCATGCTGTTCTGCAGAGTCCTGTTCATTCGTTCTGCAACACCTTGCTGCTGATGTGCGTAGGGAAGGGAGAGGAGTTGCTGGATCCCCCTTTCCGCCAGGAACTGCTTGAAGCGCTGAGAGGTGTACTCCCCACCTCCGTCTGACTGGAAACTTTTCAGTTGTGTTCCAGACTCTCTTTCTGCTATCGATAGCCAGGCGGCGAATGCTGCGAGTGCCATGTCGCGTCTGGGTAGGTTGCGATGCGAGACGTATCGAGTGGCGGCGTCGATGAAGGTGATGGTGTAGTTGTAGTTGACTTGTCCTGGTTCGCGATTGTAGAGGATGTCGCTGTAGACTGTTTCGAGTGGTGTGTACGCTGGAGCGCTCGGGTTGTGGTGTGGAGCAAACGGTCGATGAGGTAAGTCAGCTTCGGGACATATAAGGCAAGTCCCTCGTGCCTTTTGGAGTTCTCTGCCGTCGGGTAGAAGTAAAGAGTCTTTGTCAAGGACTCCTGCTCTTATCGTGTTGTTCAAAACTGTGTTGCTTGGGTGTCCTGTGCGTGCGTGCCAGATCTCTTCAGAGGCGCGGTGTCCAGGTGAACGCTGATATGCGTCGGAGTTGGAGTAAAAACTGGCGACGAGGTTGGCGCTTCGGTGGACTTCACGTTGAGTCGGATGCAGCTGTTGCGCGGGTGTTGGTGGTTCTTCGTCGACTGTGACTGGTGTCGTTGTTCCTGCTGCTGCTGATGTTGTTGCTACTGTCGATGTTGTTGCTGTTGCCGATGTTGTTGCTGCTGCCGATGTTGTTGCTATTGCCGATGTTGTTGCTGCTGCCGATGTTGTTGCCTCTGCTTCTTGTTGGATCGTTGCTAACGCTCTTGTTCGTTCTGCTTCAGGGATAGTGTGGGAGTACCAGAAACCTCCCGGGCTGAAGTCGGGGTCGAGATCCGGAGGGTGTGTCCAATCAGCAAAGTTCACAATGGCGTCGCTGTCTGCAGTGCCGAGGTCGGGAACGAAGTCGAGGACGAAAACGTTATTCTTCAGCACTGCCTTCCCGATGTAGAGACCGCCTCTCCCGTGGTAAAGCTTGAACTCCTGGGTTGTGCTGTCGGCTTCCAGATGGATTCCTTTCGCCACCAACTGGCTAACACTCAGTAAGTTGTAGCCGAGTCCTTCAGCGATGAGTAACTTAGACATGTGCAGTATGACATTTGTTTCTCTTGACTGAAGCTGTACCACTCCCTGTCTTCGTGTGCGCAGGTTTTGATTGTTGGCAACCGTGATGATCACTTCTCGTTGGAGTCGATGTTCGCGTTGTACGAAATGCCCGGACGAGCACATATGTTGCCCGCAGCAGCTGTCCAAGAACCAAGTGTCTTGGCCGGACGGTTCACTTTGAGCGATGGCGGCGTAAGTCGGATTCGGGTGGAGTGATTCGCGGCGAGGCGT